ATGGGGTATGGGGTGGGGCGGGGGGAACGGACGGGGGGATGGGCACAGGGGTGCGAAGTCCTGCTGCCGCGGCCTCACAAGCACCAGACGCGGTGGTCGCGTGGGAAATGGGTTACGGACGGCTGGTTTTAGGGAAAGTCTCAGCGCCGGCGCAGGGCTCCTTTGCGTACCCCGATGCCAGGGTCGGCCCCGGGGAGGGTTAAGGGGTCCAGCTGTGGGAAGCAGCCCCTGCCCTGGCACAGCCACGCCGCCTCCCCCGGCTCTCCTCAGCCCTCCCCGGACTTGGGGGTGCCTTGACCCAAACCCGGGGTGCTCAGTCCCTGTCCCAGCGCCACACAACGCCCCGGGGGTTGCCCTGATGGAGCCCCCAGAGCTCACGGCTGCAGCAAGGGGGAGGCCAGGAAGAGGCGCAAGGGCCGGAGGAGGGACTCTCGGCACCGGCACCACGATGGCTCCACATCAGTTACACCATTGCAAAAAGAAACGCTGCTGGCAGGTTTTGGTGCAGAGCTGGAGCGAGCTGGAGAAGGGGAAGCCAGCGGCCCCGAGCAGCCCGAACATGCTCCTGGTCCTGCCCGGCACAGCCAGGCTGGCATCCCGCAGCCTGGCATGGCTGCGTGGCACGGCTTGGTGCTGTACGGTGCTGTATGGCGACTGCACGGTGCTGCACAGCAGCCACAAACCATCAGTGCCCTCTGGAGGCAGCGGCACACTCGCCGAGCCGGCACCGCGCAGCCTGTACACGGTGCTGGATGCCGGACTGCGGCCACCCCGCGCCTGGAGCCCAGTTCAACTCCAAACTCCCGGGTGCTTTTCCAGCAGGTGCTTTTGGAGTGCAGGATCCCACCTGCCTGCAGCACTTCAATGGGGGGAAGCCCCCGGGGACCCTCCCCAGAGGGAGGTCCCGTCCCCCCAGGACACCCTAAACGTGAAGCTCCGCAGTGCCCCAGCAGAGCCCCATGTGCCCCCAACCCCTCCCTGCCAGGGTGGGGACCCCCCCCCACCGCAGCCCACCCCCC